CATACACCACATAACGTATTACATTACAGGAGGCCTTTAAAAGGAAATAACAATTTACATACTACTAATTTTGCAAGGAAGGATATAACAAATACTGTGAGTATATATTTTATGTAATTTAAAAAAAATTCAAGACTAAGGCATGAGTAGGATTTTATAGGCTCTAATATTTCACGACTGATTTTTATTAATCTCTTAATTTTAAGCACATATTTTGATTACGTTTTACGTGGATACACTTGGTTATCAAGATATCGGGCTTTAAAATTGCAAAATTTTACATAAAAAACGATAAAAAGTGAAAAATGAAAAACTATAATACTTGATACTTTCAAAATCAAGCTATATCGAAATATTATGTGTAGTAGAAAATATTGTTTAACATAGTCAATTAACATAGTCAATCCATCGTCGTGTACTTATGTCATAAATAATGTGATTTCACTTCATATTATTTTAAACCTGCTTATTACTTTCAACTTGTGATTCTGATTTCGTAGTTCAGTTTAGGTTATACTGCCGATTTTAAAGATTCTCAATGCCGTTTACATGACAGTATTGGTTAACAAATTTCAATATATAGAATATACATTTTTTAAGTGTATCCGATGATATTGGTTTAAAAGCTGATCTATATCAAAATTTTTATTTTTATAAACCATTCTGTGCACAGATTAAGCATTGTTTCTAATTTCGATGCCAATTGGTACACATTTCCGAAAGTTTTCTTTTAAAAGATTTTCATCACACTGTTACCCACAGAGTATCTCTCTACTGCAAATGTAGTATTGCTTGTTGTTGTAGTGAATAGTGATGAATTATCATCATCAGTTTGTCTAACAACTAATTCATCATCATATACGTTTTTATATCGAAAAAAGTGTTCACATACTATATTAAACTTTTAATTTTATGATTCTAATTACGTAGGTTAGGTTAGGTTATATATCTGTTTCTAAGGATTCACTTAAGCCTATTGTCCCATTGTGTTTGGAAACATCTTCAACCCTTTGACAAAATTTAAATTTCTTTAGAGGGAGGTCCTAAGATTATCGAAGGAACAGTAAAATAGCGATATTTATGCGCTAAGTAGTAACAAAGCAGGTATGAGGCACTTTATTGCTTTCTCCACAACTGCAACAGGAATGATCAAAAGGGAAGATCAATCTTCCCTTGGTTTCCTAATCGACTGTGACCCATAAGCAAGCCTACCACAGCACTGATATGTTTGTAGGTTATTTCAATGAAAGTACTAGATTTTTACTTAACAGAACACGCGAACTTTTATACAGATGCCCACATATCGTTATGTCTTCCGATGCTTTATTAAAAAGTTCAGCACAAGAAGAACTCACCAAATTTTTTAGATTATTTAATAATATTAAATAATTTCACAAATCCTAAATGTGTTTCATTTATTTCTTACATATAATGTAAAATAACTGTACTCGAAGTATTGCACCTCACCGAGTTTTCCATAATTCCTTCAAATGACGATAATTCACATTTTTGCTAACAAGTTTTTAACATACCTTCTGCTCAAAAAGTACTCGGATTTTGTAAATAAAACACACAAATTTAAATTTTATTCCAAATTTATTTTATCTCCTTCAAAATATGCTCCTTCTGAAGCGATACACATATGCCAACGTTTAACCCAATCTTCCATACACTTTTCGTAGGCCCGTGAAGGTATGGCTTTTAGATCCTTCAGCGAATTCTCTTTTACCGATTCAATCGACCCAAAACGCACGGATCCAGATCTGGCCATTATGGTGCCTGAGCGATGACAGTGGTGCCGTGTTTGATCAAAAAATCGCCTAGGTACATCATTTTGATAAAATTTTTAATAATTATTTGTTCATTCTCCATACACCGTATTACATGGAAAACATTGATACAAACAATTAATTTGATTTTTAAATTTATTTATGACAAAAGAAGCTATTTACTTAATAGAAACATTGTCACAAATACAAGCATGTTAATAAATTTGTAATTTTGTTTATATGTAACCCTTGAGGGAACTTTGAGGTCACTTTTGAACTTTTTTTTGGCGAAACGATCTTTTGTTTCCTAAACCCTCTAAATATGTTTTCTGCTTTTGGTAGAATCCACAATTTCAACCTAAAACGGAGATTGTGTGCATATTGGTTGTATTGTTATATCTTATCTGTATATCATATGAGCATATAATCCCCAATTCAATTTTTTTAAACGTTTCACTGTTCTCACATTATTACATGGATAAAACGACATTCTAATTTCTGAATGTAGTGATTTCTAAGAGTTTAATTAGAGAGCGTCAACTGTAGTTGCCATTTCTTGAGTTCAGTTATTATATCAGATAATATAAAACATACAATTGGTTTTCATATACAATTGAATAATATAAAATCTATAATGGGTTCTGCCAAAAGCCTCTTTTTGCAAAATCCTCCCATAAAACATTCTGAATATTAAAATTCAATGTTCTTTTATAGTCAGCTCTGAAGAAAGAAGTTGTTTGACTTTTACTTTTAAAACATTATCAAGACATATAGTACTTCTTCCTTAGAGATATTTAACAATATCCAAATATATCGAGCGCATAATCAATATAACAAATATGTTCAAGTTTTAAAAGGTACTTGCTATCTTAGAGTAATTAAGATGTTCGATCAGGTACATATTTAATTATCGTATGCTATATATGGTGGGACGTTAGGACAGCGCACCGTCCAGCAAGTGGCCACATTGAAGTGAAGGATTAGTTGAAGTAGACCACGAGACTACTTAGGTCCTTTTTCGTCCTTCGATTTTCGGATGACGTTATTGAGTTAAAGCTGGAGTGATTTCCGTTCGCATAACTACATCTCTTGTTAATGCAAGCAACTCATTTAGCTTGAGGTTGCCTGCCAAGTCATCACCAAGCCAATGGTGCCCCCAAGACAGTCTTTCTCCTACTTACCGGTGCTGAATATTGGCACAATATATGCATCGTTGTCTGTTTTTCTTGTAGACATAGTTTGCAAATGTCTTCCCCAGCAAAAGTTATTATTTTGAGGTGATACTTGAAATTGCCATGTTCAGTAATTAGTAGCTTAAATTGCTCTGCGGAGAGCTAAGCACTTTTATCGCGGTTTCGGCAACATGAGTTCAGAATGTCTATAATTGCTCAACAATCTTCACCTATTAAGATGAAGTGATTATCTTATGCTATATGATTATCATCTCATAACAAGTGTATATTTAGGCAAATAGGCCTATTAAATCATTATAAATTAGTATATATTTAGGCACATATGCTGAAGATTTAGATTAAATAAATCAGTAGTTTGTAACTATTCAACTTGCATAATATTATTTTATGCTGAATAATTAATACAGTTAAATTTATTAATATTTAAATATATTTTAACTTTATTTAATGTTTACAAAATTTATATTTTATTTATACCAAAAATTCATTTTACAATTTTTTAGCAAAGCATTATTTTTAACACTGAACAAATTATTTTAATTGCATTTGGCCCCTAATTGATGCACTGTTGTCTTATTAAAAAATCATATAGCAATTTTTTTTGTCATAATATACATATTATATATTCAATCAGATATATTAAAAATTTATATATAAAATTAATTACTCTTACAAAAATACATTATTTATTTAAAAATATATGAAGACAAATATATATAAAATTTATTACAAAATTTGTAACAAAAATATTTGATAATATATTGACTTTGGAAAAAGAGTAGAAGCATATTATAATAACATGATAATATATTAAAAAACAAATTTTTTTTAAAGCATCATCTCCATTGCACTTATGAACATAATTATAAAAATTTCTTCAAAAAATTTTTAATATGGCCTTCAAGGTAAAATTTAAATACAATTTCGACAGTTAAATGATTAAAAGGAAAAGCTATGAAAAACCAAGAAATTTTATATAAAATACCTAATCTATACTAAATTTTGACACAAATGAATAGAAAGCAAATAAAAAAATAAAATTAAATCTAAAAATTGGTATTATTCCCGTTTGTCTCGCTGACTGATTTGCGCCATTGTTATGTATTGTCGCACTAAACGAGAAATCTCATGTGCCTGCTCGGTTTGTACGCGTATGACACGCTGCTGCATTAAATTGCCAACTTTCATGTCCAAGAACAAAGCGCCATCTTCTGAGCGCACCTAAAATATAACAATTAATTAATATTTGAAAATAAATTCTAGTCCATAAAAGTATCCAATAATAATATTTGCTACATTTACTTACCTTACGTGTTGATATGACTTCCATAAAAGGCCAGTGCTGCAACGTTTCATGTGTATTTGGATCTAAGAATAGTACACCACGACGATTTAGTGCTAATATTAAATCTCGCCACATTGGATTATTATCCTCTACATGTGGTGCTTCATCAGCCCAAATGCGTTTCACAGCAAAGAAACTGCTGCCGAAAAGTGGCCACGCCGATAGCACATTTAGAAACTGTGTCTTTACTTGTCCTGGCGTTAGGCCAGCTATTTGTGGCCATGCAGATTGCACTAAACCAACCCACTGTGCTGGCCTTATTTCTCTAATACCCAATGCTGGTTTTGGTAGCAGGAACTTAATTTCTTTCATTGCTGGTACATGACTTAAATCAGCAGCACGATGTAACAGCGCTGCAATTCGTGCCATATCTCGAACTACTTCCGGTATAGGAACACCATTGCCCGGTAGCTCTAATAAAAGGCCTTCTAAGTAATCTGGTGCAACCTGATTAAAGAGCACCTCTACATAAAGTGGTGTTGGTGCTGGATCACGTTTCAATGGGAAATGCCAAACAGAGCGACAAAATATTAGATAGAATGGTTGTCCAGACTTGAGCAATTCTGTTGTCACATCCAATATATACTCATCTGCTGACAATGGCATTGTGAACGCATCACCTTGTACAATACAATATAGCGAAAACTCTTGCTGTTCCGCTTCAGATTCAACACCAAGCAATGCGCAAAGTTCAGAAATAACATCTGCTACAACTGTAGAACAACGCGTATTAACTACACGTTCAGCACCGCCTGGTAAACGATAAATTTGTCGGCGTGCAGAACGACCAGCAGAGACCGCAGTCACCTCTTCCACGCTAGGCACATTCTTTCGTCCACCACAACGTGCAGTTTTACGTAAGTTGGTCAGACATACAGCAGCAGTACCATGGCATGACCGCCTTCTATCGGATGCAGCCGATGTAAGATGTTCCATGAGATATGGACGTAAGGCATCTGAACAACCAAAATATGCTGCCAATATGCTAAGCAAACGCCAAGCACGTTGCGCTGAATCTGTGCAGGGTGAACGATTCGCTGTGGTTTGTTTCATGAGCTGGCAATACACTTCATCACGTAGTGCCAAGTACTTGTGACAATGCTGAAATGAACATTTATTGTATGGTATTTTAAATATCAATTGAATATGTTTGTTACGAGCAAAAGTTTACGTACCATCAAAACAGTGTAAACACACTTCACTTCTGTGAGTTCGGGATCAGGTGCTATATCGCCACAATAACGTAGAATGCAATCAAAACATTCCAAAGCAAGTGGCGCCAAATCATTTGGCAGACGCAGAAGCGGCATGTTAATGGGTGTACCCTGCCATTTGACTAGCTCTGCATATGAACGATTTGAGGCAGCGCGACGATCAGAGCGTTCACCTCCGTTTTCACGGGAATGACCACGTCCCTCGCTTATTTGACTACAAATTTTCGAAAGTAAAATAAACATTTTAATTTAAAATAAAAATTTTCATTTCAAATAAAAACTTACTCGTTGCGGAAATGCTGCATGGCGAATTGAAGTAATGAATATTTCGTCACTGATGGAGGTGTACCAACATTCGGATGTTCTTCAGCCATATAATTTGCATCCAATTGTTGCGAATGTGACATATGATGATGTTGTTCACGGTGATGTTGCTGCTGCTGCTGTTGTTGTTGCTGCTGCTGCTGCTGCTGTTGATGACTACTTGAAGACTTACGATTTCCATGCAAATAACTTTGCTGTTTGTGATAATGCTGTCTTTCGAAATTGTCGACATGGTTGCCGTTGCTTGACTTCATTTGATTATCAATATCAAGTTCATGTTGATGTACTTCGATATGTTCTGTGGATTCTCCAAGATTGGTGTTATTACGTGCGTGCATTACAGCGGCATTGAGACCATTTGATGATGTCATCACAGCTGCTGTATTGTGCATATTACTGTTATTATTACTATTGTTGTTGTTGCTGTGACTATTAACAGTGGTGAGCTGCTCTCTTTGATTCGATTGTCGTGATTCGAGACGTTCGATAGGTACATTTAGCGTTTGTGCTGCAGCTCGAGCACCTGATGAAAGTGTCGAAGCTTTGGATTGTGTCTATCAAAGAAGAAAGCATTATTTGAAGGTGTGTCGATAATGTTAAATACAGTTTTTAATTGTTTAAAATTGAAAATTCATTTTACAAAATTGAAATTTGACTATAAGGTTTTGTGGAAAAATTTTTAATTTAATTATTTTTAATGTACATCGAAGACTAAAAGTGAAAGACAAATTAAATTTGAAGAAATTAGCTAAAATATGTTTGAATAGTTAATTAATTACAGTCGTGGATTGAACCTGTCTATAATGTACATGTTTCATAATGTTAGTAAATGCTAAATTTCAACTTACTTCATTATGACTTTCCCAACTGAAAGAATTTTACATACTTAATATATAAAACCTTTAAATTTTGAAATATCTATACATATCGAAGAGGTTTTTGAATAATAAATTACAAAAACTTTCATTTTTATTAATTTATATTTTTGGATGCCTAAACATCTGTATCGAGTACTGTCAAAGACTCATCACTAGTAGCTTTGAGAAATATTTATTGCTCTTATTAGTGCATATATAATTCTTTTACTGTAAGATCTAGATTTAGTACTCTAAACCAGTCAAATTAGAAGCAATGATTATTTGTAACTTTTAACCACATCAGTAAAAGTTGCCCGAAACGTTCCTTGTTCAAATTTTAAGTTTAGTTTTACTTTTTTTTGTTTCTCAGAAAACAAATTTATAAGCCACAGCTTATAAAATTAAATTCTATTATAGATGGATATAAAACCAATATATATACATAAGGTTAAATTGAAGACAATTCTCTTTTTTTGGCTCTAGATGGTATTGGTACTCATCGATTATGCCACGTATTTGAAAGGTTCGATTTTAGGCTAAATTTTTTCTCAAGTCAGTTGTGTACTTTGTGGCTATTGTAAAAAGGTATATTAATATGAATATATCTGACGAAATATACAATGTGATACCTTATTGATATAAAAAAAGGTGGAAATGCTGTACAATCATACTGTAAATTTTATACTATTTACGATGGGGACGCTGTAAGTGGAAAATTAAAACATCTTAAATTTCGTTCCGAAAATCTCGATATCAAAGTAGCATCTCGCTTTGGTCGGCCAATAACTAAAAAGTCCGATAAAATTTTGTAACTGGTGAAACAAAGCCGACATACAAGCCGTTAGGAGATACAGGAGGCGCTAAACTTCATTAACATTAATTGTTTGAGGGTTTTGTTAAGTGTTTGGTGATATTGAAAGAGAAATGTGCAATAGTTAATTCGGTTCTATTTGCTCACAACTCGACCAATTAATCGAAACAATCGAAATAAAGCGACAACAATTGACCAACAGAAAGGGAGTTGTGATCATGCATAACAATGCCAAACCATACATATCTTTGATGACTCGGCATTATTTCAGAGATAATGGTTGTGAAGTTTTAACGTATTCTCCATATGGCCTAAATCTTACACCAGTTTACGAACATTTGTTTTGGTGTCTGTAAAACTGTCTTAATGGTAGAAAAAAAACCGATCGAGAAGCCACTAAAAACCATTTTCTCAAGGTTTTCATCGATAAACCATAGAGGTTCCACACCGATGGAACTATGAAGCGATACAAAAAACAGCAAAAAGTCATAAATAATAATGGCCAATATGTGCTTGGTTAAAACAGATTTTCAATATAAGTATATGTAGCTCTTTATGACCTAACAAATTCAGAATTGCAACTAATACATTAATTGAGAATTTTTACTATTAAGTATTCTGTACTTATAAATACATTAATTCTTCAGTGTTCATGAAAAAAAAAAATAATACTATTGTATAAATTGCATAAAACATTTAAAAAGCAAACTAAAAGAAATGTCCAAATCTATAAAAAAAATTAGAAAAAGAGGGAAAAATCACATAGTAGTCACACTTGTTAACAGTTTTATTATCCGTCACCAATAAGTCATTTTAAAAGCTATTCAACAGCTCAGCTTAAGCTTTAAACTATTAAGAGTTTTTTAAGCGTTGCTTAAAAATTAATATACTAAAAAAGTTTGTGAAAGTTTGGCTGAAATTCATTAATAATAATAAACTGTACTTGCTGCACCGCTCAAGAAAATCAATTTCAACAAAAACATTAACGTTTAACGTCCACGCTATAAGCACGCCTTGACTGAGAGTGCATTTCCAGTTTTTAAGTTCAATTGTCAAGTTCGGCTGGAGCAAGGAAATTGTGCAATTGTGCGGTAAAGAGCGGATAATTTATTATCTGATCTATTTTACAGCGAACTCTCCTGCAGCACTCTATTGGCATTTTGTGCAATTTAAAATACATTTGTTTACGCCTACATCACAGAAAAGTGCTACATTACACGAACATTTCAGAGAATTTATATGGAGATAAGTGTAGATAGCTGTGAATAATGTAAAGTAATTAATTACTGTTCCCATTTTAACAGATAGATATAATAGCTTTTATCATTCTTGGATATTTTTTTTTAAATTTTACACAAAAAAAGATTAACGATAGCAAAATAAAAAATAGAATCACAAACACAACTGTTCAAAAGAGATTGCATGTGGAGAGGTGCATATGCACGTAAATTAATGCATATAAAGCCTTATGAATTATATTCGGTATACTAATCCTGACACTTAATTAATATACGTGTATTATAAAATATATTTCTAACAATTTACTTATATTAAAAAAAAAAAATAAAATAATAGTAGTTATAAAATATATATATAATATATAAACAAATATATAGATA